CAATGGAAAAATTTTTTGAAAGTTTGAATTCGCGCGCTTTTACTCACCGGTTGGTCTAGAAAAACAAGCGAAAAAAAGCTCGTCCCTAAGGGCATTCAGCCTATTTTTCGATGCTTTTTTCTCGATGAAGGAATATTTTTGAATTCGTTCTTTATTTTTATGCCAATCTACATGCGCTTCTGCACATTTTGTTGCAATAAAAATTTCACCGTACACCACCTTTAACGGCAAGAACAGCTGGAAACCGCGCTCCACTGAACAAAAAAGTTCAAATTTTGACCCCCGTCCAAGTTTCAGAACTCGTGACGAGGCGGACGGTCCGAACTACCAGCACTCGGATTCGGGAACGCCACGCTCCGGGCTGGAAGATGAGGTTGAGGACGAGAATCGTGAACGCGAGCAGCTCGACAACATTGTGGAGAGCACTCAACACGTAAGTGTCATTCTGGATATGGCCGAGACATTCCAGCTCGGGCGGGATTTCAAATGTTGCGATTTTTCGACAAAAAAGTCTGGAAATTGCATACTTGTAACAGGCCGGGCCGGGCTTTTTTCCGAATTTCGAAGGCCCGGCGGGCCCGTCATTTTACAAGTTATTTTAATGCCGCGTTCAAAGTAGACTCCAGAAACTGGAAATTGCGTCCAAAGCTGCCAATTTTTCCAGGTTTTCCAGGAGCGCGAAACTTCGATTTTCCGCGTTGTAGCTGTGTTAATTTTTCGAGGTCCGCTGTAAATTAACAAGAAACTTTCTTTTTTTGGACCTCGAATTGATGTCGAAGAAAAAAACACAGCTACAACGAGGGAAATCGAAGATTTGAGTCCATGGAAAACCTGGAAAAATTGACAGCTTTGGACGCAATTTTCAGTTCCTGGAGGCTACTTTGAACGCGGCATAAATTTCCAAAAGCACATAAGGGGGGGACCCTTATGTGATTTTTTCGATCAAAATGTTTTTTTCTAGTTTTTTGATCTTTTTTGATCAAACAGACAAACCAAACAAAAAAATCATACTTGTAAAATTCCGGGCCGGCCCGCTAAAGCCCGGGCCGGACTGAGGAAATTTTCAAAACCCGGGCCCGTCCCAGAAGGCCCGGTATCAAAAATTCTGTATTTTTCAGCCAAATTTTGAGCTCACAATATAATTTTCTCTATTTTTTTTGTTTTTTAGATTGTTTGTCTGTTTCAAAAAAGATAAAAAACCAGAAAAAATTTTGATCGAAAAAAAAAATCCTATAAGGGACCCCTTATGTGTTTTTTGAAATTTTCAAAACTTAAGAATCGACGGGCCCGGCCCGGCCCGTTACAAGTATGAAAAAAACGAGAATTTTGGAAAAAAAATATATTAAGAGCTCAAAATTTGGCTCAAAAATGCAGGATTTTTTATACCGGTCCGGGCCCGAGCTTTGGCGGGCCGGCCCGGAATTTTACAAGTATGGTAAATTGTGGTTTTTTTTCTTTGGCTGGAATAGTTTTGGATCTCTAGGCCATCTAGGCCTGTGACAGTGACCGAAGGTCCCACACCGACGACTACCGTAATCTGAAAAATTTTTTTTTGGATTTTTTATTTTCGTGCGTTTTCAGTCAAATATTTTTAGGTTACGGTAGCTGTCGTTGTGGGACCACTGACGACTTCTACAGTACTTTCATATCAGTACAATATGTCAAATCTTCTGAGAACCATTGAAAATTTCCAGAGCATCATCGCTGTCGGCCAGACCGACGTCGACGGTGTGATCATGATGGATACGCAGTATCGTGAGAAGGCGTACAAGCAGAAGGTTCAGAAGATGGCGACGGCGTCGTCGACCACGCAGCTCTACGAGCCAGGTAGGTGGAAATTTTTGAATTTGGCGCCAAATTCAAAAAATTCAAAGTTCCAACAAAATCGGTCTGAAATTCCCCATTTTTTTCCAGTCCACGAATTCCAATTCGAGCCAACCCAAACGCCAATCCAGGTGCCACTTCGCTACGATGAGATGTCGGCGACGATAGACAAATCGCCGATCGAGCGTATGCCGTTCGCGTGTCCAGACTTCCAGCAGATGCGTCTCGCGCGGACGATGGGCGTCAAGAATGCGCAGTTCTTGGTGGAGCATCCCGATCCACGGCACGCTGGAAAATCGCCAGCGATGAGCAGCTCGGCAAAGCATAAGGTTCGGTTTTTTTTCAGATTGAAATTGGTCAAAAATGGCTGAAAATTAGCAAAAAATTGCTGGAAATTGTCTAAAAAGGGCCTAAAATAAGGTCAAATACGACGTAAAAACTAGTGGGCTGAAAATTGCTCAAAAATGACTGAAAATGGGTCAAAATCGCTGAAATGGGGTAAAAATGGCTGAGAATGGGTCACAAATGGCTGAAAATTGTCTAAAAAAGGCCTAAAATAGGTCAAACATGTCTTAAAGTTAATCAAATACGACGTAAAATGGAATACCGCTAGTGAAAAACCGCTGATAATTGTCAAAAATGGCTGAAAATGGGACACAAAATGGCTCGAAATTGGTCAAAAATGGCCGAAAATTAGTCAGAAATAACTGAAAATGGGTCAAAAATGGCTGAAACTGGGAAAAATGGCTTCAAATTAGTCGTAAACGACGTGAAAATGATCAATAACAGCTTGAAATTTTTCAAAAATGGCTGAAAATAGGTCAAAAATAGGTTGAAAAGAGCTCAAAAATGGCTTAAATTTAGTTTAAAAATGGCTGAAAATTGATCAAAAATGGGTCAAAAATGGCTGAAAGTGGCCTAAAGTCGATCTAAAACTACCTTCAAGAGAATTTATAATTCGGTCCATGCTTGACCTTTTTCGACCAAATTTAGGTATTTGAGACCTTTTTTGACCATTTTCAAGCTTCTTTCGATCACTTTTAGATATTGTAACCATTTTCAGCGCCTCTTTAGTTAGATTTTGGAGACTACAAACTACAAAATTCGATTTTTCCAGATCACCGCCGTCCTCGACCAAGTCCATGAAGGCGTCGTCGGCATCGAGGTGGAGCCACGCGATCTCATCGTTAGCATGGATTTCTAAATAAGCTCCGCCCCCTTTTTCCCCTAATCCTATCAAATGCACCGTGTGATGATAATGATGATAACCCTCCGTTTTCCCTAAAAACCCATTTTCTGAATTATAGGTTGATATTACAAGTACCGCCCCTGTTCCTCTCAGTCTCCGCCCATTTCTTCGACTCCGCCCCTTTTCTCCCCGAGAATTTATTCATGTACCCTAAAAAAATTTATCATTTTTGTTCACTTTTTAGCCCCGCCCCTTTTCTCAACAGTTTTAAAATTTTCAATTGTTTCGCCCCGCCCCCTTTTTCAGTCTCAAAAATTCAATATATTCGGCCAAATTTTGTTTCCTTTCTCATATAAATCCATGTCGGAAAAATCCCCGAAAAGTGTTTTTATCACTAAAAAAATCAAAGGTCTCTATAGACATACTTTTAGTGTCAAGTGACCATTGGCCTTGGGGAAAAAAAAGAAAAATTGGGAAAAATTTTTATCGGTTTGTTTATCACATAAAAACACGCCTGGCGCCAGCCTGACAAGACAACACATCAAATCAGGCGGGAATTCTGTCTATTTAAAGGCGCACCATGTACCGAATTATCAAAACTTGTGATTTTTCGAACAAAAAAATATGACCCCAAAACTTTTGATTTTCCTGACTATTTCTTTTCTTTTTTGCCACGTTGATGGATTCCCGGTTAAAGGTACAACTAGATAGCTTTAAAAAGAAGTACAGTAGTCTTACAGTAACGAATCTGTCCCCAACATCCAGCAAAGATGATCTATGGTCGATTTTCATGTCTACAGGAGATATCAATAGCATTGCGTGAGTTTAAAAAACACTTCGGCCATCGGTGCGAATCGAACTTACCATTTCAAAACGCTGGCAGAAAAGTGAGCGCGCCCACAACCACTGCGCCACGAGACCACCTTGAAACTAGACAGGTGGAGGTCGTAGAGAAGGGAGTGAACGTTGCGTGATTCTTTAAAAACTTTTCGACTTCTCGAAGGAATCGAACATGTCGCCAAAAAGCTCGTGGAATAGTAAGCGCGCCCACAACCACTGCGCTACGAGGCCGCTACGAGAACGAGAGGGTGGTGGGCGTAGACAAATGAAGCTCTCAAAAGCTCATAACGAGATTTTCAGGATGAACAAAGATGTGGCGATCATCGACTATATGGATTCCGAAGCTGCTGGAAAGGCCGTCCGACGGCTGAATCATGTGGAATTCGATGGAAGGACACTGACAGTAACCAACGCATAACTTTAATTAGTTTAGAACATTTTTATTGTAAAAATAAACATAATACCAGTAATCATTGAGTGTTTTTTTTTCTTCGGAGTTTGGTTCAGGATATGTGGCAAGTGAGAGGAGGGAGTTTGATATTTCAAAGAAAATAGATCAAAAATAGGGAAATGAGCAATAATGGTACGGTACTTTGGGTGGCTGTTGCTGTTAGCGAGTCACTGTTGCACAGTGAGCCCTTACAGGCACAATGAATTTCCTCGTACTCATCGGATATCCACTTTCTCGAGCAGCCCAATTGAATATGCGACTTATCGGAGACATTCATGCATCCTTGAAGTTCGCTGACGGCGTGCACCATGTTCGAACGACCCATACTGCTTTTGCTGGTGTGACGTTGCGCGGCGTAGGTACAGTAGTGACCTGGAAGTTGGTTGTTCAGCTATGGAAAAATGAGAAAGTTGAATATTTTGATAAACAGAACATTTTTGTAGTTTACCACTTTTAAATACCAGTCGGTTTACGCCCCTCCGGGGCTAAACCTCCTGGGCTCCGTTTACAGTGCGTGTAACCTTACAGAAAAGTGTTTTCCACTTTCGCTCGGGGACTATTTTTTAACGTCTAAACTCGGAAAGTTGGAATTTGGATATTCAGAGAATATTCAGAGTTCTAGGATTTCTGAGTTCGGAAGATCAAAATTTCGGAAACTTTAAAATCAGAACTGAAATTTTGAAAAGCCATAAGTATGGAAATCTAGAAATTCGGAACGAACATCAAAAATTAGTAAATACAAATTATTCGGAAGTTTGAAAACTCTTTATCTTTACATTTTGGAAAAGAGTTTCAAATTTCCGAAATTATAAGTTTTCGAAATACTGAATTTGAGAAATTCCGGTTACCCAGGAATCTGGAATCCGGGCCCAGGAATTCGGACCCAAGAATCCGGAATCCGGAATCCGAAATCCTGAATCCCGAATTCCGAATAAGGAATCCGGACCCAGGAATTCGGAATCCGGAATTTGGGATCCGGAATCCGGAATTCGGAAACCGGAATCCGGAAACCGGAATCCGGAAACCGGAATCCCGAATCCCGAATCCTGAATCGCGCTATCCACTACACCACGGGTGACCACAGCGGGGATTACGGAAATGGCATACACGTGTTTGGGTTTTCCTCGCCCTCTCCCCTCTCGCCCTCCTCCCTCGCCATGACCTCCACCCTTCACTGTGGTGAAACCAAGGAACGTCTCCAGAAGACTTCAAAATCAAAATTTCGAAAAATGAAAAGGTCGGGCCTTCAATTAGACACATTTCTGATCTATCTGTCCAGGTTTCAGCTCAATCGGTTAGCTTTGAATGGGTTAACCGTCACGCGACATACATAAACATACGGAATCTGGTGAATGTTATTAGTAATGATCTTTCAATGGAGCCGAGATAAACTTCATCGAATTGACAGTAGGTTTGGTCTCCATTAGACGGGGCCCCCTCTGAGCTCAATTATCTCGACTTCTGTTAAAGTTATCAGAAAGTGGTCAACTAACAAAATGTTTATCATAAAATCACCTATATTTCATCAATTGACTGTTTCTTGATAGCTTTCAGAAGAACCGAGATAAATTGGCACAAATTTGATAGTGAGTTAGTTCTCCAATAGAAGTCCTCCATTACACTTTAAGCTCAATTATCTCGACTCCCGTTGGAGTTATCAAATAGCAATAAACTGAAAAACTGTTTACCATAAAAACACAAACATTTTATCAGTTGATACATTTTTGATATATTCCATGGGAGTCGAGATAATTGTGCTTAAAGCGCAGTATAGCAAGCATCTCTCAACTTTGACTCAATTTATCTCATTTCCTGTAAAATATATGAAAAAGAATCTCACCTAGACACCTATTACTTCTGCAATTCGTCGTGTGAGACATCGATGTAGCATCCTGAGTGTTCGTCTCACAGTTATAGCACGTTTGGAGTGGAAGCGTATAATCGGTGGCGCTGGAATTTCAGAGTTTTAAAATCTGGAAGTGAATGGTGCATTAAAATGCTCACTCTGTAATCTAGGTATCTATTTTAGAACTGAAGGAATCTGAACACCCGATTCTGAGATCCTCCCAACACTTCCGAAAATCCTAATCTCACCTACCTCAACGTTAACGATCTCGCCCTCGTGCTTCCTTCCTTTTCCCGATCCTTGATATTATACTGATTGAACTGATAGTTATAAACCGTATTACACATTTTCGTACTGCACACACAATGACGACGTGGCTTTCCAGCACCCCTGCAAAGTCATATGATGATCTGATATACATACAATGCAACTCTATACCTGCTCAACGTAATACAAACTTTGCTCCGATAGTAGAACAGTTCAGGACCTCGATAGTAAAATGGAAGGGCTGGTGGTCCGTATCCACATCCGGATGCCCCAGTACTCATATCCTCATGACACCAATGCCCCTCACACGTCGATCCACAATCCGGTTGTTTTTCAGAACATTCTCGACATGTCACAGTTCGAGTGTATTTCTGACGAGTCGTGTTCATGACCACTTTATCGTTACAGTAGTGACCTGGAAAGATTTGAGCTCAATTATCTTGGTTTCTATGGGAGATATAACAAGTAGTGATTTTCAAAAGTTTTAATTTTGGGAAAAATATTCTATATGAAAGTGTTAATATTTCTGTTATATTTGTTGAAAAAACACGCTGCTCCCAAAAACTTAACGGTCCATCTTTTGGGAGATTCAAAAGATTCACGTGGCTCACAAAAATTTTCGAAATTTCAGTACTTTGATGTGAAAATTAAAACTTTTGAAATTCCCTACTTGTTATATCAAAAATCTGTCAACTAGTAAAATGTTGCTAATATTATGATAAACATTTTGTTAACTGACTTCTTTTTGATATCTTTCACAGGAACCGAGATAAACTTCCTCAAAGTTGGCAGTGAATGAGGTCTCCAACATTATGCCCTCGTACTTTGAGCTCAATTATCTCTGTTATTATGAGCGATGTCAAAGATTTGTTAATTGATAAATTAATTATCATAATATCACTAATATTTTATCAATTGACGACTTTGCGATATCTTTCAAATGAACCGAGATAATTGAGCTCAAAGTGCATCTCTTGTCACAAACCCTGACAAACGCAAAGGATGTGGTCCGAGAAATGATCGTATTCACAGCCATGATGTATTCGTGATGTCCGACGGAGGCAACCTTCAAACGAAATTAAAGTTTGTTTAAAAAGACTTGTCAATCTATTTGACAAGAATAGTGCGAATATGTATGTAGATGACTCACCCTTGGTGATTTTCATGGAGCCGGGAATTTCAGTGGGCTTCTTTTCGATGAAACATTGGCCAGATTCGCAGGAACCCATCTGGAAAGAAGAATTGTTTGTGAAAAAGATGCCGTGTTTCAGGTTTTTTGAATCCTTTTATTTTCTTTAAATAGGTCGAGGGCCGGAATATACTGGGATAGGCCAAGGCCGGACCGGTGTCCTAATGACAAGCGCCCCTATACTTCAATTTAAGCTTAATTATCTCGGTTCCTATGAAAGACATCAAAAAGTGGTCAACTAACAACATATTTATCAAAATATCATCAACATTTTTGTAGTTTTCAAAATTTTTATATCTCTCACAGGAGCTGAGATAATTGAGGTCAAAATTCAGTGGCGGCATTCTGTATGAGACTTATCACTGTCAACTTTGAGCCAATTTATCTAGGTTCCTATGAAAGGTAGCAAAAAGTGGTCAACTAACAAAACATTAAGCAAAACATGATCTGTATTATGTCAGTTTACCACTTTTTGATAACTTTCCCAGGAGTCGAGATAAATTGGGTCAATATATGTGTCCCCAATTTAAAGGGAGATTCTATTTTTCGCAACCCCATATCTCAAAATGGATCAAATTTAAAGTAAAGTGTTCAGCTATATAAATATTATATTTTTAATGCCTACATTGAAAAAACGTTTTTATAGCTCAAAAATCAATTTCCAGATTATCACCGCATCTGGAAACTTCAACGACATATCCCCTAAACAACCCCTAGTCATCACTCTGTCAGCTTTACGCTCACATATCTCATTTTCTGTAACAGGCACCAAAAAGTTGTCAACTGATAAAATGTTCATTATGTTATCATAGATATTTTGTTAGTTGACCACTTTTTGATATCTTCCACAGGTACCGGGATAAATTGGCTCAAAGTTAGGGAGCCGTTCTAAATATAACAAGGTTTACGGGAGCTACATTTTGTCTGAAAATTGAAATTACAAGGGCCCTTCAATTAGAGGTTTTACTTTTTTTTTGCCCCTCTCATCCTCTTATTTCCTTTCTCCCCATTCACTTTTATGACCACTGCTGCCCCTCCTCTTCCCCTTAGAAATTCATAAAAAGGTTAACCCTTCCTTTTCCCCCCCCCCCTTTTACGCTGGCTCCAAAATGAGCTCGTTTTGAAACGACGCATGTGTTGCCATGTTTTATGGGATTGTGACTTCTTTTTGGAAGCAGAAAAACGTGGACGAGTATTTTTGAAGCATATTGTTTGAAGAATGCAAAGTTGAAGAAAAAAGGACCTCGCGGACCTAATGCTCTAATAGCACTCTAATACAACTTTGAGCTCAATTATCTCGGCTCCTATAAAAAATACCAAAAAGTGGTCAAGTGATAAAATATTACTGATAATATGATAAACATTTCATTAGTTGACAAATTTTAATAGCTCTCCTAGGAACCGAGAGAAACGTACTCAAAGATGGTAGTGTGTGAGGTCTGCAATAGAACGCCGACCACTTTTCTGAGCTCAATTATCTTGGTTACTGTTAGTGATATAAAAAATTAGTTAACTAACAAAATGTTTATCATAATATCAGCAATATTTTATCAATTGACAGATTTTTGATATCATTCATAGCAAGCGAGATAATTAGGCCACAAGACTCACCTGACAATTACACGGCTCATTATGACAGACACCCGAGCATGAGTAGCATTCGTTGCTTCCGCCGTTGATTTTGAAAATGAAAAACGCCAAAAATAACAAGAAGTAAGCAGATGAGTTCATTCCGACGAACAACACCGATACATCCTATGGAAGGTGTGCACTGGAATAAGAGGGCAAGGATTAATTGATAGTCGACACGAATTGAGAAGCTGAGCAATAAATAGGAGAAGGGAATGAGCAAAGAGGGGAAATATCAAATTCTTAAAGGGTGGGAACCTTCCGGAAGAAACCAGAACTACTCATAATTATAGATCTGGGTGGAAATTGTGAAATTTCAAAATTACACATCCTAAAAAGAAGGAGGACACAAAAAATAATCACCACCTTCTCCTTCCCTTTCCTCGACTGCTCCACCCAAACCACGCCCCCTTATTAGGGAGGGGGGGGGGGGGTGTGCTTTTTGGGTGTGTGCTCATGCTGGCGTACTTCCGGATGCAGCGCTCAGCCCAAACCGCCCATCTCAAAAGTCGGTGATGTGGAATTGAAGGTTCATTAGAAGGAGAAAGGGATGGAGAAAAATCAGAAGAAGAAGAATAGAAGAAGACGTCGTCGGTAAGTAATCAGAAGAAAGGAATCTCAAAAGATGGAAAGGGCATTATGGAAAATGGATTTTTGGGGAGGCTTCCGGTGGTGGAAACACTCCCACGCTGTCATAAGAGTTGACCTGGAGAATAGGGAATACAGAGAGATGTCCAAGTTGGGATTTATTTGGGCAAAGTCTGAAAATCTCAAGAAAACCCGAATTTTTCGAAATTCCCATAAAATTCCGATAATCCCAGAACTCCGAAAAATCCCGAAATCCTGAAAATTCTCAAAAATTGCAGTGCCTCAAAAACCACATTATCAAAATTCTAAAAATCCCAAAAAAATCACGAAAGTCCCAGAACTGCAAATATTGATTTTGGATTTACTTGACGGATTTTTGAGATTTTACTGGAATTTAGGAACTTTGGGACTTCTCGGGACTTTTTAAAAATTTCGAGGTTCTGGGGTTTTTACAGGATTTTATGATTTTTGGGAATTTCCGAATTTTTTCGGGATTTTTGAGACTTTCAGAATTTTTTGGTTTGTTGGGATTTCGGATTTTTCGAGATTTTGGGATGTTGTAGGAATCCTAAGATTCTGAAACTTCGAAATTCGTAAATTTCGAAAATCTGAGACTCTGAGATTCTGAGATTCTGAGATTTGAGATTCTGAAATTCTGAGATTCTGAGATTCTGAGATTTTGAGATTCTGAGATTCTGAAATTCTGAGATTCTGAGATTTTGAGATTCTGAGACTTTGAAGTTCTGAGATTCTGAAATCCTGAACTTCTAAGATTCTGAAATTTCGAAATTCGTAAATTCTGAAATTGTGAAATTTTAGAAATATGAAATTCTGGGATCCTAAGATTTTGGGATTCTGAATTTCCGAGCTCTCAACTTTTCCCCAAAAATATTTTTTTCCATTCCATTTCACTTTTTTTAACAAACAAAAACCCAGCAAACCCAATTTTTTATTTGGAAACTCTATATGAATAATTGATTTCATTTTTCTTCCCCCCGTGTCAAGTCATCTGAAGACCCCACGTCTTCTAAAATTCAGAATTTTTGTGTGTCTTCTCGTCTAATTGGATTTTTATGTCCTAGCTTGTCTCGTCGTTTGTCGCGTTTTCGTTGAATGTTTTTAATTTCGTCTTTTTTCGGTTTTCTGAGAAGGAGGACCTGAAATAACATGAAATTGAAGACGGGGAATGGATGCAGGTGATGTATGTGGGTCTGATGGAAACATATAAAATTGTTGTTATTTTTATGGGTAAAAAAGCATCGAAAAACAATCAGCAATAAAATGAATCGTTCAGTTTTTTATTGTTCCAATTTGGCCAATTTGAATTTTCTAGGAGTTAGGAGTTTAGGTGTCTGAAAACTTTCTGGAATTTCAGAAACTTTGAGGTAAAGCTGAAACCTTAAAATTTCAGATTTTCAGAATCTCAGAATATGAATCAAAGAATCTCAAAACCTACTAATCTCGAAGTCTCAGAATCTCAAAAGCTCGTCATCCCGGAATTTCAGAATTCATAATAATTCGCTAAAACCCCCAAAAGTTCCAAATACCCCAAAATCTAAAAAAACTGAAACCAGAAACCTTAAAAACCCCAAAAGTTTCAAAAATTCCGGAATCAAAGAATCTCAAAACCTACTAATCTCAGAATCTCAGAATCTCAGAATCTCAGAATCTCCGAATCTCAGAATCTCAGAATCTCAGAATCTCAGAATCTCAGAATCTCAAAGTCTCAATATCTCAGAATCTCAATCATAGAATCCCAGAATCTCAATCAGAGAATCTCAGAATCTCAGAATCTCAGAATCTCAGAATCTCAGAATCTCAGAATCTCAGAATCTCAGAATCTCAGAATCAGAGAATCTCAGAATCTCAGAATCTCAGAACCTCAGAATCTCAGTATCTCAGAATCTCAAAGTCTCAAAATCTCAGAATCTCAATCATAGAATCCCAGAATCTCAATCAGAGAATCTCAGAATCTCAGAATCTCAGAATCTCAGAATCTCAGAATCTCAGAATCTCAGAATCTCAGAATCTCAGAATCTCAGAATCTCAGAATCTCAGAATCTCAGAATCTCAGAATCTCAGAATCTCAGAATCTCAGAATCTCAGAATCTCAGAATCTCAGATCCAGAGAATCTCAGAATCTCAGAATCTCAGAATCAGAGAATCTCAGAATCTCAGTATCTCAGAATCTCAGAATCTCAGAATCTCAGAATCTCAGAATCTCAGAATCTCAGAATCTCAGAATCTCAGAATCTCAGAATCTCAGAATCAGAGAATCTCAGAATCTCAGAATCTCAGAACCTTTTAATCCCGAAACTTCTCAAAAAATTCCAAAAATCCCAAAATCCCAAAAATCACAAAGTACCAAAAATCTGAAAGATCCCAAAAATTCCTAAAATCCCAAAATTTCTGAAATCCCAAAATCCTAAAATATCCAAAAAAAATTCCGGATTTTAGAATCTTAGAATCTCATAAATTCAGAATTTCAGAATAATAGCAAACCCTGGACATCCGGACACACAGACACGAAACCCCAAAAAACAGGTCCATCCGAATAATTCATAAATGTGTGGTGGTGCCAAAAAACGCATTATTTTTTGGGTTGTGTGTTTGTTATGGGGTCCGCCAATTATTAGAAAAAAATGTGAAATTGAATGGAAATATTTTTCATAGAAAAATAGTGCCAAACAGAAGTCAAAAATAAAGTATATAATATTCACATGTTCGGTGTGTGTGCTCCTGGAGCCAGAAAAATTCCGGAATAAAAAGTGTTACAATGGGTTGGATGGAAGTCATAGGGATCGAAAAAAAACTTGTGGAAAGGGCGGGGGAATATAAGAATATGAAGGAATATTCAAAGGGACAGCAAAAAGTTTAAAGTAAGGAGAAGGAGAAAAAGGTGAGAATATGTGACATGTGTAGGGAGGGGGTACAATCTATTTCTCAGAAGAAGAAGAAGAATGAAATTGCAAACGAGAGAGGATCGTTCAGATTTATGGACAAGTGTTAGGAGGAGGGTCTGGGGGAGAAGGGGGGTTGTGTAAAAAGGAGGAGCATTGGAATATTCATTGAAACCCTAAATTTCAAGGGTGTAGGTCGTTTGGTGTTTGGGTCAGTAGCAAGACAGTCAGTGCCGCGGTTGGTTGCGGTCGGCCGTGTCCCAGTCCAGAAAATTCTAGGCTAGGCCTCCGAATTCTATCGCATAAGCACCTTAACCGAAAAGCAGTAGCCCTGCTTCTGACAGTCTTGGTTAGCAGAAACATCGGTTTTAGAGGTGATCGAACATTTTCCGGATCTAATCGGCTATTTTGGGCTTTAGGAATCATAATTTTGACCATGAGATTTTTTTAGGGATCTGAGAACTTTGGGATTTTTCTGGATTTCTAGGATTTTTCAAATGTTGTGAATTTTGAGATTCCTTGGGATTCTAAGATTTTCGAGATTTTTTTTTGGGATTTTGTTTTCTGGGATTTTCTGGATTTTGACATTTTTTCTGATTTTTTTTTAACTTTCGAGATTCTGAGATTTTAAGATTCTGAGATTCTGAGATTCTGAGATTCTGAGATTCTGAGGTTCCTAAAATGTCTGAAAAGTCCTTAATTCCTAAAAAATCAGGAAACGCCCCAATTTTAGGGGATCAGGGATTCCTGTGATTCCCTAAGATTTTTGAGATTTAAGGGGTTTTTGGGACTCTGGGATTTAAAGGGATTTTTAAAAGATTCTTGGATTTTTGGGTTTTTTAAGGTTCTGGAATTTTGCTTAAGTTTTTTAGATTGTTAGGGATTCTTGGATTTTTAAGGGGTTTTTGAAATTTTCATATCGTCTCTGTTAAAAAAAATATTTTGAATTTTTAGAATTTCAAGATTTTTGGAATTTTTTGGGATTTTGGCATTTTCGGAATTTTAGGAATTTCAGGGATTTTTTTAAAATTTTAGGGTTTTTGGGATTGGTGGGATTTTTCGGAATTTCTGGAATTCTGTGATTATATAAGATTCTGAGATTCTGAGAATCTGAGATTCTGAGATTCTGAGATTCTGAGATTCTAAAATTTTAAGATTTTTAACTTCTAGGATTCCAAGCTTCTCGAATTGCAAAATCCAATGATCCAAAAATTTGTTGGAAAAAATTTGTTGATAAATCTGAAATTTCGGCATTCCAAAATCAAATAGGAAAAGAGTTATATAGGCAATTTCATCCTAATAAAACTACAGTATTCTTTTCCTTTAGATTCCACATATCAAAAGTGCAAACTATCTTAAACTATCAATCAAGAGCTTTCATCCAAAAAAAAGCATATTCCGAAAAATTTCAAACACTGAGATTTAAAAATGCCTATAATCTCCGTTATTCCAGAAATTTTCGTGGCTCTAATCTTTTGAAAATTCTAACAATAAAACTTAAAAATTCACAGCAATAGCTTTGACAATTAAAACTTGAACGATGTAAAAAAAAATGAAGGACTGTTCTTACAAAACTTCAATTAAATATTTTCAAAAATTTCTGCAAAAATTATGAGCCCTTTTTCAAAAACTTGCAATTTCCTTTCAAAAATGCATGTTGGAGTTCAAATCAAAACAAAACAAAACTCACAAGCCACGCCATCAAAAAAGACAGCCGAGAAAAATGAATGAAACAAAATTGAAATGTGATGATGATGATGACGAGAGAATGGGGTTGGGTAGTTGTTTCATATGAAAAATAATGATGGGAGAGAGCAGAAAAAGAAGAAAAAATTTGAGAAATGTCTTGAGAAACGAGAAGAAAAGCAAAATCATTGGAGCAGACAACCCGAAAAGTTGCCTTCTTCTTTTTCTTCTCGAGTGACCCAGTGGCGAAGAAATATTACAATGTCCCAGAGGTTGTCAGTATTGAACAACTGTTCAATTTATCTCTCGAATCTCTTCTGATGTCTCATTCTGTAGATTTGATGATAAAGATTTTCAATAGAGTGGAGGAGCCTACAAGTGTTTGCTAACAAATCTCAAGGGAGCATGAGGTGATAAGTGATATGATAAGAAGTGGGAAGAAAATGAGCCACATGTGAAAGGGAGGGAGAGGAAGTTGTTTATGATCAAAGGAGGTGCTAATTGTGATATGGGAGTAGGGCATTGACCTGCTGGGGGTCAGGGATACGTGAGATATAGGATGAAGAGAATCAAAAATATTTGAATCTCTAAAACATTGATTTTGGAATGTTTGGTAACGCTCTTAAAGGAAGGGGGACTTGTCCTTTAAGCCTTAAGATTCAAGAACGATGACATACAGTGATCCCCGGTTCCTGTGTAAGATACCAAAAATGGTCAATTGACAGAATGTTACTGATATTACGTGGAACATTTTATCAGTTAACACATTTTTGATATCTCAAACAAGAAACGAGAAAATCAGCTTCAAGGGAACGCTCTTTTTATCGAGTTTCACAGACTTCAAAAGGAAGAAATTCAAATGATATTTGAACATGGTGAAAAAAAAAATATTTAAAAAAAAACTCACTACCTAAATGACCCATTGACCTCAGAGAATACTATAAAGGAAGAGAGAAGTGGAGAAAAGAATCAGTTCTGCCTTTCTCGGAGCGCCCTGAGAGGGGACCCGGGAAGGCTTCCGGGCTTCCGGGAATCCAGAATCCGGAGTCCGGAATCCAGGATCCGGAATCCGGAATCCAGGATCCGGAATCCGAAATTCGGAATTTGGAAACTGGAATCCAGGATCCGGAATCCGGAATTCGGAATCCGAGATCCGTAATCCGGGATCCAGGATCCGGAATCTGGAATCCGGAATCCTGGGTCCTGGGTCCTGGGTCCTGGGCCCTGGACATCGACAGCGAATGGAAGATTCTGCGGAAGATTCAACCTTGACCAGAACTGATATTGCTTCAAGGATGTACTCTGGCCTTCTAAATATTCACATTACACGGAAGCATAGTGCATCGTCCGGGAATCGAACCCATTGATCTGACCATTCATTTTTGAAATCATCATTTTTATAATAAATAAATGTAACATTTGCAGCGTATTTTTTTGATTTTTTTACTTTTTTATAAGATTACGGGTACTGAAAGCGGAACCCAGGAGGTTCAGCCCCAGAGGGACGTAAACCGAATGGTAATTTACAAGCCAAAAGTTTAAACTTTCCAAAAAGCGGAGCTACACTGCCACCAGTTCTCGTCATCGAAAAAAAACGTAAGAAACTGCCAACATAGTCAAAACAACCAATGGGTTAGAGAGGGATTAGGTGAGAGGGCGCACGAACCTTTTTTAGCATGAAACAAGGATCATCATCGATCAATCGGAGAAAAGAAGAAACACAAGATTGATTGAAAAGTTTTTGTTCTGGGATGGTAAAGAGAGTTTCAAATTTTTCAGAAGCGGGCAGCCTGGCATTAGGACAGACAGACGCATGTAGATTCTTATGTATAAGGAAGATATTTTATTTGTTGACAGATTTTCGATATATTCATGGAAACCTAGATAATTGACCTCAAAATGAGAGTTGTGGGGGGGGGTGACGTTCAGTTGGAGGGATTACCGTAATTTGACCCCAAAATAAGGGGCTATTTAGAATATCTGCGTCGAAATAAGTTTAAGAATAGAAAGATCTTTCGCGGAAAGAAAGAGAGTTCAAATTTGAAATTCGGCGCTATTTTTTTTTGATTTTCGATTTGTAGGAAAGTCTTCTAATTTCAATGGAATCCGAATCCTAAAAAACCATGATTTAAAGAAACCATCTGCTTGTGTTTTGTGTGTGTCTTCTGACTGGACCAATAATGGAGTCCATTGAATGGACCATGTTGCGTGCCTGCATATCTGTAGGTGCCATCAAGACATTCGAATTTATGTGCGTGCATTATTGATTGTTCCTCGTTATTGGCTAATTTGCATCAACTATAAGATAGCAGCTATTTCATGCTAATTTTGAACTTTTGAAAAACTACCCGTACCTCAACTTTGAGCCAATTTATCTCATTTCTTTTGAAATATATCACAAAGTGGTCAACTGACAAAGTATTCATCATAATATTAACAACGTTTTGTCAGTTGAACACTTTTTCAAACCTTTCACCGGAAATGAGATAAATTGGGTCAAAGTTGACGGCTAGGATTACGGTAGTCCTACATTTTTGTGACCTTAACTATGAGCCAATGGTTTCACAACTAAAAGTTCTCGGTCTCGGTTATCGTTCATCATCATCTGGTATTCTACTATGTACAATTGTTTATCACTCGATGAAAACATAAAGAACACCTGTGTAATCTTTTGTTTATAGGCTGACCGGTGACTCATCTATTGTGTTTTTAATTTTGTATTCCGTAGTGATGATGAATTTCTGTTATTTAAAAAATTTTCCAAAAACCATTACAAAATCCTAAAATTTTCAAATAATATTTTTTTTTTCTCAAAAACATTTTTTTGATTTTTTCAGTGCGTTCTAGGCCATTTTGTCATGGTGGCCTAACTTTTGCAAGTTTAGTCTCCTAGGCTACCATTGTAAACGCCCATAGTGGCCTAGAAAACCCAACTTGAAAAAGTTAAGCCACCATGTTAACATACATGTTAGACCATCTCTGGGCCATCAACTACGTTAGCCTAGAAAGATTACGGTAGTCCGGAATTTTCTGTAACTTTCTTGAACAAAAACTTTGAGCCAATTTATCCTAGTTCTTGTGAGAGGTATCATACAGTGATCAGCAAACAAAATGTTCATCATAATATCAGTAACATTTTGTCCGTGGACCATTTCTTGATACCTTTTATAAGAACTAAGATAAGTTGGGTCAAAGTTAACTACATATTCTAGAAAAAAATCGTAGACTTAGGTGCTGAATCATTAAGCTTTCCTGCCAATCGGAAATCAAAAAATGGCGCCAAATTCCAAATTTGAACTCTCTTTTTTCCGCGAAATGTCTTTCTATTCTTCGGAAAACTTATTTCGACGCAGACATTCTAAATAGCCTAAGGACCCTTATTTTGGGGTCAAATTACGGTAATCCCTAAACTTTTCAATATCAATCTTGTATTTCTTCGTTCTGAATTTTTGAAACTTAATCGTACCTAAACTTTGATTCAATGTATCTCATTTCCTGTGGAAGATATTGAAAAGTGATTAACTGGCAAAATATTAATCACAATATCAAAAATATTTTATCAGTTTGTCACTTTTCGCTAACTTTTGAAGTAAACGAGATAAAATGTATTATTTTTCCTTATTTTTCGCCTGTCCAACTACAGTTTGAAGTTCCAGATGTCTCAAATCAAACTTCGTGAATCCCAAAAGTCCCAATACACCCGAGAATTCGATGATCTCTTTCAACGACTACTCAACGAATACCTCCACGGAGAATTCCGCCAGGCAACAGATCATTCAGATTTTGAAGCCTTTCACAGAATGTACAAAGAATTGAACAAGAAAAGAGACGAACTGGAAGACAATTTTTTCCCGGAACAGATCTCCGGAAGAAGAGAGATAACGGAAGAGGAGGAGGAGCAGAGTGCTAGAGAATGCTATGATAAGATACATGATTTGAGAAGGAGCAAAGGGTTCAATTGGATGAGGACGCTTTTGGAATTTTTCGGAAAAGGAGAGAAGTTCGAGAAATTGGAACTGTTTAAATATTGAATTTGGACGAATAAAGTTCTTTGAAAAAATTTTTTTTGTTGGAAATGTGAAATTCGAAAATTCAAAATTCCCGAAATATCTAGAATGTCTGAAAAGTACCTAATTCCCAAAAAATCAGGAAAAGCCCCAACTCCAAAAAAGGATTTTGGGAATTTTTGAGATTTTCCAACTTTTTGGGGGATCAGGGATTTCTGTGATCCTTTAAGATTTTTGAGATTTAAGGGGTTTTTAAAAGATTCTTGGATTTTAAGGGGTTTTTGGAATTTTCAAATCGCTTGGGTTAAAAAGAATATTTTAGATTTTTAGAATTTCAAGATTATTGGAATTTTTGGAATGTTTGCGTTTTTTAGAATTTTGACACTTTTTGGGAATTTTTAGGATTTTGGCATTTTCGGAATTTTAGGAATTTCAGGAATCTTTTAAAACATTACGGTGTTTGGGATTAGTGGGATTTTTCGGAATTTGTGGAATTCTGAAATCCTGAGATTCTGAGATTCTGAGATTCAGAGATTCTGAAATTCCAAGATTCAGAGATTCAGAGATTCTGAAAATCAGAGATTCTGAAAGTCCTAGAGTTTCGTATCTTGAAGTTCTGAGATTCAGAAGCTCACAAATCCGTAAATTCCAGAAGTGTTGAAATTTCTGAAATTTCAAAAATTGAGAAGTTCAAAAGTTCAGAAACTCGAAAACTCTGAAATTTAAAGATTCAAGAATTCAGAATTTAAAGGATTCAAAACTCAGAAATTCCAAATTTCAAAAAAAAACTCAAGAAGTTAGGAAATTTTCAAAAGTTTGCAGTCCCTAGGAATTCAGAATTTTTACAAATTCGAAAATTACGAATTTCGAACTTTGAAAATTTCCAAAAACACAAAAATTTCAGAATTTTCCCAAAAAATCAAAATTTCGAAATTTTCAAAGAAAAAAAAAATTAAACCTATATAAATATCCCAAAATTGAACGCCCATTTGAAAAGAAACATGACCCCATGATATTCCGAAATTCTCGTGGAGCGTCAATGGGTTTCTGTGTGCATCTCCTCCTCCCAATTCTTGAACCCAAATTCCAAAAAAGGGGAAATAGTTTATAAAATGGAGAGGGTGACAGACAGTACTCGACACATGAATCGCGTTTAATTTTGGAGGCGGAGTGGGGGAGGCGACAAGGGCCTTCTTTTTGGCGGGATGGAACAACCGGAAAGTGATATATCCGGGAAAGGGAGGGGGGAGGAGCTCGAAAAAAGGATGAGCAATTGGAAGAGAAAAAATTGGAAGAAAAGGAGATACTTTAAAAACTGTAATAGAAGGGTTCCTAGCTTTCAACTTTGAGCTTAAATATCTCACTTTCTTTGAAAGATATCAAAAAGTTGTCAACTAATAAAATGTTTATCATGATATCAGCAACATTTTATTAGTTAAACACTTTCTGATATCGCTCACAGAAAATGAGAAACATGGGCCCAAATTTGACGATTCGGATGGCGTTCTATTAGAGTTTTTCTGGTACGTTCATATTTTTTTGAAATTTTTTCAAAATTAGAATTTATCGAAATTTTGGATTTTTAAAAATTTTCAACAGTTTGGATTTTTGGAAATTTTTAAATTCGGATTTTCCCAAACATTTCCAAAATTCGGTTTATTTAAAATTTTAGATCTTTCGAATTTTTCCAATATTTGGATTGTATGAAAAGTTTTCCAAATTTTCGTTTTGTTCGAAATTTTGCAAAACTTGGATTTTTTGAAATTTCGCAAAATTAAGATATTCTTGACAAATTTGATTTTTTGTAATTTTCTGAAAATTGGATTATTTTAACTTTTTTTTTTGGAATTTTCAAAAATTCTGGCTTTTTGAAATTTTGGTTTTTTTTCCAATTTTACGAGGTTCGGATTTTTTCGAAATTTTCCAAAATTCGGATTTTTGAAAAAAAAATTCCAATATTGGGATTTTTTGAAATATTCCAAAGTTTGGATTTGTTTTTCATTTTTCTTTAAAAAAAATTTTTTTTAAAGAAAATGTTCAAAAATTTAGATTTTTGTTGTTTAAAATTTCAATTTTTTTCGTTTTTTTTTTTAAACTAATTTCGAGGGAAAATGAGCAATTTTTGAGCTAAAAAATTGAGAAAAATGGGTAAAAATTAATTTTTTCGGTACAAAAAATTTAAAAATTTCTCTTCGAGATCACATAAAATTGAATTAAAAATTCCAAGTATATAAGAGGATATGGGGACACAGATATACAGACTATGGGGGAGGTGGTTACAAGCGAAAAAAAAGGAACTTTCAATGGAAAACATGTTTGAAGTACAGAAAAATCAACTACCGTAACCTGAAAAATTCTATTTTCGTCGATTTTTCTACTATTTTTCCTTTAAAAAATCGGAAAATATAACTTTTTGACGTTAAAAAAATGTTTTTTTTTACGAAAACCAACAGGAAAATCGAGAGAAAAAAATCCGGAAAAAAATTTCCGGGTTACTGTAGTCGATTTTTTTGCATGAGAATATTATTGTTGTCAGAAAAAATTGGAGTTGAGACGCAGACAGTTAATCGAAATATTTATCTGCGTCTCCATCGACTATGCGCTATTTAGGCTTGTCGCTTCGAGGTGCCTACCGTATTCAGACTGCAAAAAATACTCCCTCGCTCCAATTTTTTCGCACAACAATAATAATAGAAATCAAACAAATTTCAGACAAAAAAAAATATAAAAAAAAGAATTTATTTCCTCGAACACGACGCAGATCTTCCTCTTCCAGACGATCCCAATCCTCCAGTTCCAGAATTCACCGACGATGAGAATTTCGTTGACGTCGTCGTCTTCTTGGCGTCTCGTGACGACGTGGCTCCTCCTTTTACAGAAGACGTTGACGACGTCTGAACGCCTAGGGTCCGTTTCGGTGACACTGGCCGTCGATTTTCAGAATCCAAAAGAAGGAATGGATTCTCGCGAGGTGGTGAGGGCAGTCGGCAGGTTCCAGAGGACACGATATTCATCATTTCGTGGTAGTTGACTGCTAGACTTCGTTTCACGTCTCCCTGGAAAAAATCGGGTTAAAAATTAGATTTTTGAATAATTTTGAATTTCCCGCCAAAACTAAAAACTCGCTATTTTCAAAAAATTCAAGAAAAATGCTTCAAACAGTGATAAATTCTCAGTTCATCTCTGGAAACTTCTAGAAGGCTAAAACTAGAAAATGAATGTTCCAGAACATTCTAGAAGCAGTTTTTCGAGGCCGTTGGGACTGAATTTTCATGTTTTTCCCACCTTAATCTGTGCCTCCATGATAGCAAAATTCCGTTTGTATTTCGAAATTTCGGCCTCCAGCTGATGATTTTTCGTCTTCAATTCTTGAATCGTCTGCTCACTGTGGGCCATCGCCGAGTCGAATTTCGCATTTAGAGCTTCCACTTCTTTCTTGTGTCGTTGATGGCGGATGGTTAGGTCTTTCTCCAGGTCCGCTTTGTAGTTGTCCTGAAAATTTGTGTTTTAGGTCATTTTTTAAAGTTGTGACCTGATTTTTGCAAATTTGGTTTTCTAGGCCACTACAAATGACCTAGAAAACACACCAGGGTCATGTCAGGCCATTTCTAGGTCATTTGAAGCGGTGGCCTAACTTTTCCAAGTTTGGTTTTTTAGGCCACCCATTTCAAATGGCCTAAAAATGCCCTAACATGGTCCTGGTGTGTTCTCTAGGTAATTTTGAAGTAGTGGCCTAACTTTTGCAAGATTGGCTTCTGCAAGATCCCTCGAGAAGATTCTCGAAGTCGTGTCGAAAGGATACACTGCTCCTTACCATATCCCTCATCAACATCTCCTTCTGTCTCGCAGCCTCCGTGTTCGCCGTCTCTCGCTCCTTCAGAATTAACGTCTTCACTCTCTGCGCCTCAACGGCTTCATGGAGAGCCTGAAAAACGAAAAATCTGAAATTTCAAAAACTTCCGAAAAAACTTCCGGGATTTATGAAAATTTCCAAGTTTCCAGAACATTTGGAAATTCTGAAAATATCAAAATTTTGGAAGATTTCAAAAAATTCTAAACTCTGAAAATTTCGAAATTTCAAAACTAAATTTCTGGAAAATTCAAAAAAAAAACTTTTTTGAAAATTTCAATAATCTGGAAAATCTTTAGAAAAAAACCAAAAAAATTGGAAAATAAAAAATACAAAAATTTCAAAAAATCCAGAAAAACTGAAAATTCATAAATTTTCAGAAAATTCCGAAATTTTCAGAAAATTCATAAATTTTCAAAAAACCAAGAATTCTGGAAATTTCACAAAAGCTGTAAATTACACATTTCCAAATTTTCATAAAATTCTAAAAAATTCCACAAACTCCAAAAATTCTGGTAATGCCGCGAATACCACAGATTTGAAATTTTTCAAAAATTCCAAAAAATTAAAAAAAAACCTCTTCTGTCTTCTCCCTAGCCAACTCATTCGCCTTCACCAGCTGCTCTCTCAAATGGAAAATTTCATCGTCTTGAACTTCGATTTTCCTCGAAAACGGAGCAATTTTCTGCTCATTCTCGTCGTTTAGCTCCGCCAACCGCCCATTTTTCGCCTGTAGAGAGTCCACATTTTTCTCGAAAATTCGAATTTTCGCCTCTAATTTCTCGTTCCTAGCCGTAAAATCTGCTTTCTGAGCTTCCAAAACCTCCAATTTCCGTGCTAACTCCAATTCGCGCTCATGAAATTCCTTCAGAATGTCCATAGTGACCGTTTGAACACGATCGAACACATTGACTTGAGCCTTGCCGACCCGATGCTCGATTCGGTGCAATTTTTCGGAAACTTCGCGATTTTTCCGGGTCAGGAGCTCATTTTCCTCTTGAATAGTGGTCATTTTGCGAAGATTTACTCGGAGGACTTCTGGAAAAATTTGAAAATTGAACTTTTTAATTTTCAAAAAAAAAATTTTTCCAAAATTTTAAAATTTGTTTCCTTCCTAACCCAGTATCTCTTCTTTCTCCATGGCTCCAACTTGCTCTAGCTGCTTTTCCACCGTATAATTCTGCAAAAGAAGCGAAATTCGATCGCCATCCTCCATATCCGTATACTTTTTCCAGGAATCGATGAGCTCGTGGAACACTCGATGGATTTTTTGGGAACTTCTAGAAAAATTGTTAGTTTTTATTCGAGAAAAAAAGAAAAACTCACTTTACAGAGACCGGAGCGAGCCTCTCCACAGCTGGATCGCCGATTTCCGCGGAATCAATGGAATTTGAGCTGAAAAACGGCGATTTTATGTTTGAAAAAACTATTTTAATTACCCTGCAGTGCTCCTGTTAGTTTCGTTCATGGTTAGTAGCTTTTTTCTTCTGAAAACTGGGAGAAAAAGGGGAAAAAATCAAAGAATTGATCGAAAAACTCTTCCCCGTTTGAATTCCCGCGCTAGATTTGTGTCAACAGAGCGCGCTTGCATCGCGCATTGCACCGCGAGTGCCCAAATTTTGAAAGTTTAAAACCCGTTTTTTTAATTAAAAAAGCTGTAATTTTCCAGAAATGTTGACGGACAACACAGAAGACATCCCTCCTGATGAATGCAACTCCTATATCATGGCTTTTCTCGCTGATCGTAGGCAAAAAATCAATTTTTCATGAATTTTTGAATTTTTAGGAGATCTCATTCCAATCAAGCAGTTAGACAAAGATCCGCGAGCGGAGCATGACAAGCAGTACCAAAAATTTGTGGAAAAAGAGGGAAATAATCGAAAAAATCGGTCGGGCATGCCGAAAAAATACCGAGAGGAGATTTATAATAAGAATTCGAGTACGAATATTTAAACTTTTTTTTTTGTATTTTTTCTCGATTTTTTTTTGGATTTTTGAGCTCATAAAGAGCATTTTTTCCAATTTTTCAGATTGCGACGCTCAATTCATCAATAATCTTCATCACTACAAAACGATCGACGGTGGAAGTGGACATCGTGTCGAGCAGAAGCACTACGCGATGGATTTCATCGCTGAAAATCCGTGTGGGCCTTCAGATCGAGAGAAATTGAAGAATTTGAAGGTTCGAATGGGAATTGGAACTTCTGGAATCGTCTAGACTGCTTGAAAGGGGGAAAAGGACCAAAAATGTGTAGAAAATTATGTAAAATCTTCGAAAAATCGCTGTTTTTCGAATTTCGGTTTTGAATTCCCGCCAAAACTGAAAATTTCCTGCTTTTCATTTTCCATTAAAAATGGCCTAGAATTGCCGGGAATTCGATAAAAAAAGGAAAAAAAACCGAAATTTACGAGAATTCAAAATTCTTAAAGACTGTAAAATTATAAAAGAGTGAGTTTAAAAAATTCAGAAAAATATAAAATTGCTGAAAATTTTCAAAAATTCCGAAAACTGCGAAAAAATAATTTTCAGATTTTTTTGCTTTTTTGCGATTAATAATTTTACAGTTTCCAAGAATTTCGAATTCCGCGAATTGTCGGATTTTTGCGATTGTTTGAAAAAAATCGAAATTTTTAAAAATTTCCGCAAAAAAACCGAAAATTCGCATTTTCATGCGATTTTTTGAAATTTTTATTTTTTTTTCAATTTCAACCTACATGTTTCTTACACATTTAGACCCTTTAAACCATGCGATTCCCCGCCTAACCGCCTTTCAGATTTTCAGCAAAAATCAAATGATTAACGACTGGCTGAATCGCCAAAATCCTCCAACCCGCCCGATTCGTCGAACCCTATCCTGTATCGATCTCTCGCTGGAATCCTTAAAATTCGACAAGAATCGAGAAAAACGTGCGCGAGAGAGAAAGACCACCGCCAATGCAAAGTCTGACATCTCTAATATCGATCCGTCGTTTTTACCAGAAAATTTGCTCGAAATGGACGCTTCGAAATTGTTGAATAATCTCTCTACCGCCTTGAAATTCCTTTGCGGAAAAGTGAATACACAGAATTTGAAGTCAGGGGAAGAGTTGAAAATTCAAAGAGTGATCTGTAGCACGGACGATTTCTATGCGTATGTGATTCCGGAAGAATTCGATATTCGAGGGAATTTATTGAATTTCTCGGCGGATTTCCAACAATTCTTCTCATCGCTGTCCGAGGAGAATCGTGCCGCCTTTGGAATCAATGGGAAATTCCAAAATACATATTTCTCTTGGGTCAATGTCGTACTGTTTCTGGAAGAGTTTATCGAGGATAAAACTTGCTATCGGCGAGCCAGACATGTTTGTCAGTTGCCATCGGAGCGAGATGAAGATCGAAAAGATCTGTTCTTGGAAATCGATACTGGAATGTTGAGAGTGGTCGTTGTGAGACCGGAGACTTGTCGAATGTTGCCACAGAAATGGGCTAGTCGAACGATGCCGATTTTGGAAGTTCGGTTTTTGGGGGCGGATGTGAGTTCTAGGACGTTTTTGGGGAGATTTTAGGCAGCGTGAGTCAGTGTGTCTTTTCGAAAAAAATTTGTCGTTGCTGACATTGTTTTCGCGTTTATTTTGTCATTTTCAAGTGGTGGCCTAACTTTTGCAAATTTGGTTTTCTAGGCCATCACTTCAAAATGGCCTAGAAAACAAACCAGAGCCATGTTAGGGCTTTTTAGGTAGTTTTGAAGTTGTGGCCTA